ATCAAAGAAACTGCACAAGCTGAATGACTAAAAGGATTACTTGTTGTTTAAGTTAAGTAAAATAAGCTGCACAAGCTGAATGACTAACTGGATTGGTTTGGATGGATAGGATAGGACTTTGAATATATACTTATGGTACCGCGGTATGAGTTTGAGTCTCAGGATTGACGATTAGGGAACGTATATGCAGTAGGATGCATAACTGGCTATGCTGGTTGAGGTATACCCTGTTTAGGCTTAGGTACTTATGCCTACTCAGGTGCGTTTTGCATGTTGCCTTCTGTTTAGGTTGAGACCCTCTTCATAGTCCAGTGAGAGTCCCGTAATGTAGATATATATATGTACGGACTACATAGCTATTGTTGAGTTGTCTAGGATGTACATGCGTATCGAGTCTCTGTTCGGATTGTAATAGGATAGAACTTGTTCATGGGCCTGACTCACTTTTATTTTTCAGGTGTTCGACAGTTCCAGTCGTAGGCTTGATCGTGCTGAGTAAAGACTATCACTCACTCTTCCGACGATGTAGGACTTCTCTCCGTGATTTTGATTTGGATGTTCTTTCAGTTATTTACATTTCATATTAGATTTTTATTAGGGGTCCACTAGAGATGGATTCCCGAGTTTTTTAAACTGTTGGAGGTTTTGAAAGGATTTGAATTTTATTAATCTTTAATATTTGAGGATTTTATATTTAGAGATCTTTCAGCTTTTAATATTTATTCTTAATTCGTTTTGTAATCTGTGGTCATTTTAAATATTATTTGTTTGATATTTTCCTCGAGTTTGGGCTTGGGCCTGATCAACCCATGTCTTGGATTCGAGGGGTATCACAGGTTATGAAACCCTCAAGGGCAAACTCCAAACATGGCTCCATCTTCTTCTTCTTCTTCTTTAAAGCTCTAGAGAGAGAGAGAGTATGTGGATCTAGAGATGTGTTATTGAGATGTGCCTCCACTTCCCTATTTTTTTCTAACCCTAATCTCTAACTTTCTAGAGAGAGAAAGTTCAACAATATAGAAATTACAATGTAAAAATATGAATCTCCTTACAAGAATGATTGAATCCCTCGTATATACAAGGCTTTAGGAGCCCAAAAATCTTAGAACTCGGCCTTAGAATCTTCTCTTTCAAACACAGCCCGAGTTGGTTCGAAATGAGCTTCAGATCTACTTTTTAATAACTTTCGCAAACAGTTCGATCGATCAGACTTTTCTTCGCTCGATCAGAAATAAGTTCGATCTATCCAACTTGGCAGATTTTCAGCATCAGCCTCCTTTTGCTCCAAATTCTCACCTAGACTTATTTTGACTCCAAAAGGTCTTAAAGAAGCCATTTTTAGCTCGTTTTAACATTATTGGCCTGAAATAGACAAAAACACAAATAAGTACTAAAACGGATAAATAAAGATAGATGAATAGACTAAAATACCCTCGCTTAAGGGGTTTAAATGCACACTTTTCAGCGCTCATCACACCCCTAAACTTAAATATTGCTAGTCCCTAGTAATGAACTACGAAGTAAAGGAATGAAATGAATAACTAATTAACTATGAACTAGAAAGTAATAAATGGATAACGCCACTTTCGTAGGGAATACGATTGTATTTAGCACATGTAACAAGCATTTTAAACCCCTAGGTTACCCTTAGTGGACGAGTGAAGTCTCGTAGGGTTTTTAGAGATGATACCTACAAACATTAAGCTCATTCTCACTAAAGAGGCACCAATATTGCAAATAAGCATTGGGAGAAAATTACCTCAAGTATGCAATTTTTCAACTCTTTCTAAGCAATCTCCCAAAATCTCAACACCAAGTAAACAAGTATGGTCCTCCACACATCAAGAAAATGATCATACAAATCAAAATAACTCTAGAATCCTTTTTGAGTGAACCGGCATCAAATATGTTGTTATCTTAGCCAACTAAAAAAATGATCACATCATTACCTTCAAACTAGTACACAAATCTAGTACCGATCATCAAGACAAAGAGTGGACCTTTTATTAAAACTTTATTGATCTAGGTGCCTTTATTTTTTTCACTCGATTTATTTTTTTTTATTTTTTTAATTATTTTTTATTTTTTTTACTAATCCTAAGGATCAAAGATGGAAGCATGGTGTAATGTGTTGATCTATTAAGCTTTCTAGCGATCCATGAGGTCGGGCATTAGGTCAATGACTCCCAAACCGAACGGCTTTAGGGCACTAGGTGTTCAAACACCCCTAAGGACTTACAAGCTCAAATCAACTAGGCTACAAATCAAAATAACCTCCATCTAATCATTTCCCACTTCTCACCTTTTGGGAGAAGTCCTCACTTTTTTTATTTGTTTTTGCAACAACTTCTTCTTCTTTTTTTTTTTTTTTTTTTTTTTTTTTTTTTTTTTTTTTTTTTTGTAACAAGTTTAATTATTAACCTAGAGTTTGGGCCCTCCACCTTTCGGCGCGAGAAATTCAGTGGTTGATGAGGTTAGAATCCCGACTACTCAATGAAAAGGGTTTGTTATTCACTTTTGTCAAGATAAAAGTTTTCAATGCACTACTAGCTCAATTGGGATATAATCAATTCAATAATCAACAAAGCATGTACCCCATAAATGAACGCTAGTGTGCGCCTGTGCTAGTGTAGAATCATAGAGTGAATCTCAAAACAATCACAAAATCAGGATGAAACTGACCTTTAACCCTGATGAGAACAATCACCCTTGCATTTCAAAGAGTCATGAACTCAATGAAATGCCCCAAACAACTCGAGGACACAACCGGTGCACTCTACAGTATCCGGCTCGCAAAACGGCAAAAGACGAAATGCCCTAGCAGCGACAAAAGTTGCAAAAAAATGAAAAAAAAAAAAAAAAATACAGAAAATTGGAAACATCATATTGAGTTTGTCATTAACCTTTCTTATTTTTGTTTGTTGTGTACATGCTTTAGTTTTGTTCTGGAAACTAGAATGTGTACGTACTTTAGTTCTATTCCGGAAATTAGAATTCTTATAAACGGTATTTCCTTATATGTTTCTCTGTTCAATTGCATTTCTCAATCATCTTCTCTTTCTAGCCTTCATCGATAGCTTTCCGTCATTCGGTTATTCCGGTAATATATCTATATTTTAATTTCATGTTTTTGAATATTTTTGTAATTTTAAATTATATAAATTCTGAGTTTGGATTGAATTTTAATTTTCTTTCCTTTTTCCTTTTCAGTGTTTTGATTTTGATTGCGCTAGTGTTTGGAGTTTGATTTTGTCCTGAATTGTCTATATCTTATTGTTTTGTTGATTGAATAAAATATTGATTCTTGCTTGTAATGTTTTTTATTTTTTATTTTTCAATAAAGAATTCATGCATGTAATGTTGATTAATTAGATTAACTTGGTTTAATAATCAATTGTTCTTTTTTCCAAATTATTTCACTTATTTCAGTTGATAATTTGATTTTGTTAAATGAAGCTTTTCTTTTTGGTTGAAATTATGTGTGTGATTTTTTTTTTTTTTTTTTTTTTTTTTTTTTTTTTTTGATGGTTTAGAGACTGTTTGAATTGGCTTTCAAAGTGAGAAAAAACAATTTAAACTCGCCTACAAACAGTTAAGAATGATCTTGAGCTCTTCCCCCTGATTATTGTCAACGATACAGTTTATAGAAGTCTTCTTCAATTTATTTCTAGATCTTAAGCCCATATACGAAAATTCTTAATCCATTTTCTTTATGCAATCTCGATTCTCCGTATTACAATCGAAACTGCAATCATTGGTTGTTCTGTCTAGTCATTACTCTACCGGTGGAAGGGCTTTCAATCATCTTCCAGCCTTTGTTCCAGTAATATATCTATATTTCCTTACTTGTTTTTTTTTCATTTCTTTTTTTATTATGCAAACACCAATCATGTGAAACATGAATAGGGCAATTTACTATTGTTATGTGAACGGGAATTGGGCAATTTATCATTATTAAGTACCCTTTCGTGGGATGTTCAAATCAACCTCTAATCCGTCAATCTGAGCCAACCAATTTGATTTGTGCAATTCGATTTTTTGATATCATGATTCGATAATGGTTTTAAAAAATGTCAATACATAATTAGCGGTTCGATTAACGGATTGGATCTAGAAAAAACGAACGGATTCGTTAATCGATCCGTAAATATATATATATATATATTATATAATATGTAAATTGCTTACAAAAATTGCAAAAATGTAATCTCAACTATTTGTGCAAAATAAAAATTTCATTATGTTAATATCAATACATTGATCTTTTTGGTTTTCTTGTTTTCTAGATATGTGGTAATAATTAGCAGTAAGTGGTAATAATTAGTAAATGTGTTCCAAAATATAAGTAGATGCAAATCCAAAATATATCAAAAATAAATAAAAAAAGAAAAAGAAATAAAGAAAGAAAAATATATTTTTTATGTTTTAGACTATATTTTAAATCATAACAAACTGAAAATGAATGAAAAACAAAAAAATACAGAAACATTAACAGAAGGGTAACAGTGTCATTTTAATATTATCTTAACTTTTCTTAAAATATTTGAGCGCCGCTAACCCCCAATTGCAAAAACTAGTAGGATCCGCTAAACCTAAAATTGACGGCCAAGATTACTAGAACGAGGACAACGAAAGTTGAAAAAAAAGGTACGACCCACTAAACCTACAATTGACGGCCAAGATTACTGGAGCGTCCCCAACGAACATTCAATAGACCGCGTCAATCATACGCACACGTGGAACTGGCACCACCCGAATTCTTCCTCATGTAAATATCCTACTACTATATAACTCTATATATTAGTATAAATTTCATATACTGTATATCTTATTTTCTCTCTCTACAGAGTCGAAAATTACCCTAAATCTTGTTCTCTCTCTCTACACAGTCGGATCGCCGCGTCTATCTCGGTAAACTTCAGTTCATGTCCTTTTACAAATTATTTATAATTAATTGCAATTTATTGTAGTTGAATATTGGATACTGTGAGGTCAAATGTACTTACTTTTTCTGATGATGTTTTGAGTGGCTAATTCATGCTTTGTGTTTGTGTGTCATCAATCATAAGTTTAAGGTTTTCTTTTTTGACGATTTAAGTTTAGGGTTTTTTTTTTACTTCCTTTCGATTGGCTGCTCACACTCGTGTCGGTGAGTCAATTTAAAACCCTTCCACGTTCGCAATTTTTTTTTTTTTAATTTTATTTTTAATTTCCTCCAAATTCTCAATCTTTTTTCGTATCTCGCGTCAGGTAATGAAGTGTTGTTAATTAATTTAGAACCGGTGGACGAATTTTAATTTTATTTTTACCCAGGATTGTTTTACTTTCATATCGAAGTATAATAATGTATGGGTTTTGTCCTATTTTTTTTCTAAATCAACTAATCAAGGTCTGTAATTCTTGTCTTTCAAACTAAATCCTATTTGGTGAAATTTTCTATGATCTTTTTTATATAAATTTTTATTTTATTTTATGAATTTTAGTTATAAATATTTGTGAAGATAATGACTGAAACAGGATCTCCCTTTGCAGGATTTGAAAGACTAATTGGTAAATTTGGAGTTGAACTGCTGAAGGCCAACAAATTGGAGTGCTTTCATCACTTCAGACTAAGTATAAAGTAAGTAATTTCTTCAATTATTCATATATATTTATTTATTTATTTTATTCCAGATTTTTTCATGCTAATAATAAATACCCTTTGCAGCCAGTTGAATTTTCAAAATTCAACTGTCTCCAAAGATGGCCATCCGTGCTGGATGGCTAAAGAATATCCTGAAATCACAGCAGGAGCTCATGCTAATTCACGTATGTACAATAAGCTTGTGCCAAAATACGATACTATCTTCTAGTGATTAGTAATTTTTTATAATACTTAATAATCAAGTGTGAGGTGTTGCTTATCAACTACTTGTTTATTCCTTCAGGTTGGCATAGATGATCGAATTAAAATTCAGTGGGAATGGGAAAAGGAGAGGCGGGAAAAGGAGAGGCGGGAAAGGCTGCAGCATAAAGGTGATTATAAATTATTCCATGGGCAGACTTTAGTTTTATTAATTTTTGGTTTAGATATATAGGTTCTTGTTTTATCACAATAGGTTCATTTTTCTTTATCTTCCTCTAACTGAAAAAACAAAGTGTCAAAATGTTTCTAATGTACATTTGAATTGGTAAATTTATTGCTTACAGACAATGGCAGAGTAGAAGGCCGAATCAGAGCTAATCAAGCTCATTCACAACTGACAGCCGGAGCATGGCAAATGCAACGGGAGAGAAATAGAGAAGCTGCCCGAATTTCTTTGCAGAAGGTTTGTGTGTCTTATGTTGTTCAAAAAAAATTTTCTTCCTTGTGTACACCTTTAAATCGGGTTTTGAGCTTCATAAAAATTAACTCGTCTTTCCCCTCCTCATTTCAGATGGAGAAGACTGTTGCGTTTGAGGACAATCTGCTCATTGGGAAATACTTTGAGAGCCTCAGTGTCTTTGATTCAACCAGACCATTGGAGTTGTTTGGTTTGTTTTTGAAGAAAGATGACTTCTACGATGATGAGGAGGCAGAAGAGGGAGAGATCTTAGAATAAGTTTTGAACCAAAATAGCTGTCATAGAGAACAGTAATGTATATTGCTGCAGAGGCTAAAGCTTGCCACTATGTACAGAAAGATTGCAAGCTCATTATAGAGGTCTTGAAGGAAGATTGTGTATGCACTTGATCACAACTGACTTAAGTTTTGTAGTTTTTTATAGCTCTAAGCTGATAATTGTAACTTTGTATTGCCAGTGCAATGCAAATTTTTGGTGTTGCTTTGGCTAGAAGGTGTTCTTTTTTTGACTTCTCCTAGGACTTTGCCTCTTGCTTAGTCCTAGTTGAATGGCCACGTGCCACCACTGTAACATTCTACTTCATGTAATAGTAGCTCAATGTCAATCTTTGATTTAATTTGTTGATATGAGCCAACTTTTATACATACTGCTGTCTTTTTGTCATGACCAATTTTTAATTATCTAAATTTAATTATTGTATTTAATTTTCAGTAGTAGTACTGATGACTGCACAGCTAAAATGCCAGTTCTGCTTCAAAAAATTCTTGATAGAAAATACAGTTTTTCTCGCAGCCATTTCACTTTTCTAAATTTTCACTTCAACGTCTAATTAAATGTGTGTGTGTGTGTGTGTGTGTGTGTGTGTGTAAAGACCATGTTTCTTTGATGTTACTGATAGTTTCAGTGATGAGTAATCCGAATTTTTTGAGGTGTGGTTGGCTTCAAGACCCTATTTTCAGGGAGAAACATCTGGGAAATAAGCTTCCCATCCACCTGCTCTTTGACAGTGATGAAAATCTTACTGCTCAGACCACTGATTTCGGTATGGTGGTACTTCAATTTCAGCACCAAGTTTTTTGACTCATAGTTGTGTTGTTGAAGATGAAGACAGGTGTTCACTTCTAGGCTTGCCTCTGTGCTTTCAAAGGTGACTGGGCAAGAACAGGTAGCCTTCATCTATGGCAGAAGAATTCCGTCAATTGGTCTGCATGTATGCAGGAGTTTGAGGATTGTATCATGAATTCTGAGTTATCGGATTGGAAATACTTTGGGATTAAGTTTTCTTGGAGTAATGGTATGTACTTTCGTAAGTTGGGTTGTGTTCTTGTGAATGATACTTGGTTGCTTTTGTATCCTGGGTCTGAATCTGTTTTCCAACCTCCTGGTGTTTCGGATCATTCGATGATTTTGCTGAAGGTCGTTCAAGTGGTGCAGTCCGATCCTTTGAACGCTGAGCTTCAAAAGGTTGAGAAGGAGTGTTTCCACTCTTACAATTCGTTGGTTCTTGCGGAGGAAAATGTTCTCGGACAGCAATCTCGGGTGGTTACAGTTGGGGGATCAGAACACCAAGTATTTCCATCGAATTGCCCAGCAGAGGAGGGTGTTTAATCGTATTACCACTATTGGTAATGATGATGGTACTATGCTGAGCAATGATAAGTTGGTTAAACTGGAATGTGTCAAGTTCTTCCAGTCTTTGTTCTATAAACCAGTGGGGCAGTCTGCTGTTGGTGAGCTCCATAATGCTATTCAAAACCCCTTTTCAGAAACTCAAGGGCAGGCTATGATTGCTTCTATTACTGAGGAAGAAATTAGGGCTACTGTGTTCTCTTTGAAGGATGCTAAAGCGCCAGGGCAAGATGGATGGAATGCTGTTTTCTTCAAGAGGGCTTGGCCAGTTATTGGTGGAGATATTACTTGGGCTATTCAGGATTTCTTCATAAAAGGGAGCCTGCTATCAGAGGTAAACTCCACTGCAATTACTTTGATTCCTAAGGTTCGGTAATCAGACCAATCTCGGTCTGTAATACATTATATAAAAGCATTGCTAAGATTATAGCTAATAGGCTAAAACCAGCTTTAAATAGCTGTATGCATCCCTCTCAGGCTGCATTTATACCTGGTAGACGTATAGCTGATAATGTACTTTTGGTTCAAGAGTTATTATTAAACTACCATAGGAATCATGGTCCTGCTAGAATAGCTCTTCAAATTGACCTTAGGAAAGCCTTTGATAGTGTTTCCTGGGAGTAATTGGCTAAAGTTCTTGATGCTTTTCATGTCCCTGCTAAAATGATCCAATGGATTCTTGCTTGTGTGCGTCTCTTCTCCTAAATTTTCTATAAATATAAATGGGGGTTTGGAGTGGTATTTTGGGAGTGGGGGGTCTCCGGCAAGGTGAACCTATGTCACCTTATCTTTTTGTTATGATGGTGGTCCTTAGTGGTTTTTTATCTACTCCTACTCAGTGTGATCGGTTCCAGTTTTATTGGAAATGTAAGGATCTAAACCTTGCTCTTTTAATGTTTGCGGATGACATCTGTCTCTTCTCAGCTGGGAATTTGTCCTCTGTCAATGTGTTGCTCAATTCTTTGTCTCAGTTTAGTATTCTTTCTGGGCTTTGTTTAAATGTGTTAAGAGTTTGCTTATTAAGTTCTGGGGTTGATGAGGGAAGTTTATAGTCTTCCTGCTTGTTCTGGGTTTACTCAAGGGACATTAGCTGTAAAATACTTGGGAGTGCCTCTGATTTCTTCTACACTTAGAAGTGATGACAGTGTTGATCTTGTGAAAAGAATTACTTCTAGGGTTAGATGTTGGCATAGTAAATTCTTGTCTTTTGCAGGGAGAATTGAGCTTATTTCCTCTGTTCTGTTTTCTATTCAAGTGCACTGGGCTTCCTGTTTTGTGTTGCCTAAAAAGGCTCTAAAGCAGGTATATGATGTAATGAGGAATTTTCTGTGGTCTGGTACTGAGATGTTTACTAAGGGTGCCAAAGTTGCATGGGATGCTGTTTGTTTTCCCAAATCTGAGGGTGGACTTGGGGTTAAAGAGTTATTGTTTTGGAATTATGCTGCCATGGGGAAGCATATTTGGTATCTTTTGCAGCCTCAATCCTCTTTGATCTGTTTGGGTTGCTTGGGTTAAGAATTATTTTTGTTGAGGGGAATAAATTTTTGGTACATTCCTATGCCAAGTCAGTGTTCTTGGTCTTGGAGGAAATTGTTAAAACTAAGAACTCAGTTTAGATTGTAGTTTATGTTTGTTGTTGGTAATGGTTTGGATGTGTCTTATGGTCTAATGGAGTCAATGCTGACAATATGGAGGAAAGGGTTATTGTTATTTCTGGATTGGGTAGACAAGCAAAAGTGGCTGCAATCATCTCTGGTTTTCAGTGGCATTGGCCCGCCTAGGAATACTATGGCAGTGATGGAATTGAGGACTAATATGCCTGTGGGGTTTTTGCCTAATCCTGCTGTGCATGATAAACTTATTAAATCTGCTTGGGATCTCCAATGGCCATTCCTAGTCATGCCTTTATATTGTGGTTGGCTTTACAAGATAGATTGCTCACTCAAGATAGAATGATAAAGCATGGCAGTGCTTCTCAGTTTAGTTGTGTTTTTTGTCATTTCATGATAGAAGATAGACCACATCTCTACTTTTCTTGTCCTCCCATTTCTGTGATTTGGAATACTATTAAGGCTAAAGGTGCTTTACCTTGGCCTACTGGCAGCTGGGATCAATTGGTTTCTTGGTGTTTGTTGTTTTTTAAGGGGAAGCCTTTAGTTTCTTTGATTAACAGGTGGTTGTTGTCTGCTACAGTTGATTACCTCTGGCTTGAGAGGAATAATAGGCTGTATGGTCAAGAAATTACTGATTTGCAGGTTGTCAAGTTTACCATTATTGAAAGTGTTCATTGTATAGCCTTGTCTTTACGAGATATTCCTAGAACTGTTGCTTTGCACTGAGTGGGGTCCGCCGGATGCTGTTATGAAGCCTTGTTGATGCAGTTTTTTTGTTGAGTGGAAGGATTATTATGTGTATTTGGTGGGTTTAATACTACTGGATGACTCCAAACATCAGTAGTCTTAGTATGCCCTGGCCCCCTCATAGTGCTGGACAATCATGTCTTGAATACAGGAAAAATGAGTAACCATATTACCCTCCTCATCCTATTTCTGTAGCACTGTCATGTTACTCCCACAACCCTATGATCCTATAACATTTTGATAAAAGTAAGTTAGAATTCTTATCTTGATCCTTAAGCCACCTAATTCTGGCCTTTTGAGAAGTAAATTGGCCGTTCAGAACTGGAACATCAGTAAGCCACAGTTGATCAATAACCTGGTTATATTCATGCATGAATCTAGATGACAGACATAGCCCACATTTCTTCTCATGATTGTACCGAATTGTATTCAAATCCCCAAGACGAAGCCAAGCTCCACTAAAATGCTGATATCGAATTTCATCGGATCCCACCCACACCAGATTCGACCACCATTCACAGCAACATAATTATTAGACTAGCACCAGTTGGCCTTAATTCTAGTACTAATACACTTAAACTTACCACTTTGAACCCTAGTTTCCACTAAGCGAACTAAGGACAAAGTGTTCTTACTCAACCAGGAGCGAACCTCAGATTACATTCTTCTCCTGTCGAGCCCTCTAACTTTCCATAACCCAATAAAGGGTTTGGTGTTGGTGGATTTGCTCCACCAGCTACCATCCCTCTAGTAACTCTACTGTTGCTAGGGTCAATTTCAGCCTCCTCCTTATTCTTCTTCTTGTTTTTTCTTGGAGGAAGCAGCCCCTACAGGAGGAGAGAGGACATCGATCATCCTCTTTCTCCACAACTTCTTTACATTTGTCCGCACCCCTTCCTTCGATTCAAATTATAGCCTTCTGCAGCAACCTCATTACTCAAAATCTGTACCTCAGTGTCCTCTCTGCATTCAGCATTCACACCAATAAAATTGGCCCCATCTTCTGTTCTAAGAGCATCATTCACCATAGAACTAACATGACTCAGGAAAGAAAGTGCACATTATAAAGACAAATGGCTGTAGCCATGTGACCATAGAACATATTCGAATTAAGATTAGGGTTCAGAGCAAATAATAAATGAAAATTATATAAGTACTCTAGACCAAGCCGAGCATATTAGTCATAAATGACTTCAATGATAGAAAAACATATGTAGGAAAGGAACAATCCTCTTCAAAGAAGGAAAGATGTGAATGATGTCATTAGTTCAAGGAAAGAAAGAGTGAAGATACATCGCCTAAGAAGAAGTTGTTGAAACTTATATGTGTTACAATATCTACACAACAGGGCGGGTTATTACAGAAAGACAAGCAATCAAATAATGTGAGTCTACAGGGTTAGGGCCTAAGTTAGAATCATAAAATACTTATTTTGGCATGAGACTCAACAATTACATGAGTTGTTGAGCAGATAGCTTACAAAACTTGAAAAAAATCTAGAATCTGATATGATGAACTTTTAACAATGTTTTTACAAAGAAGTGGTGGTGAAAATCATAGAAGTCTAATGCTGTAGCAAAGTGAAAATTATAGAAGTCTTCTTTCAATTTATTTCTGGATCCTAATCCAGTATGCAAAAATTCTTAACCCTGTTTCTCTATGTAATCTCCACTATTTGTGCAAAATAGAAATTTCATTTTAGATAACAAAATAAAATGCGAAAGATTTTGTTAACATCAGAGATTGGTCTTTGGAAAACAATTTTATATAACAGAGAGGTTATTTTGCAGCACCTTTCTTTCTCCATTGGTGAGGGTCAGAGGTTTAGTTTATTTTATGATCCATGGTTCAATGGACACACTTTACAACAAATGTTTGGTATGAGAAGACTTCTTCCTGCAGGTTTTCAGTACACATACACTATTTCTGTCCTTTCCTCTCCAACTGGTTGGAGGTTACCCGCTAGTTGGCCTTCTGAAATTGGAACCTTTCTGGTTCAACACTTTGATTTAAATCTTGAAGACACTATTAAATGGAAACATGGTTCTTTTTGGTTCAAGGCTGTGTGGAATGTTTGTAGGGAGCATAGTGATCCAGTTCCTTGGTGCAGCTTAGTGGTTTGGAACAATAACAGGCCTAGAATTGCTGTTCAAACTTCCCTTATTTTACACAATGCTTTTCCATCCTATTTCAATCTAAGAAGGAGAGGTTTTGTTGGTCCAGCCATTTGTTATAATTGCTTCTCTGAAGCTGACTCTCGAGACCATCTGTTTTGGTGTTGCCCTTATGCTAGACGCGTATGGAACTGGTTTATTCAGATTTGTCATTGGGATGGACTTATTAATGTGACTCACTTTTTAGAAGTATTGTTATGGTTTTAGTGCCAGACAAAAGGGTCAGTCTTTGAAATCCAAATTAGTGAAGTGTTGGTTTTTTTTTTTTTTTTCTAGTTGGGACTCACACACACTGCCTCCACCGAGGTTCGAACCCCTGACCTCCCTTTGAGAAGTAGGAGCCTTATACCGCTAGGCCATAGGCCTGTTGGTTTGAAGTGTTGGTTCACAACACTCACCTTATCATTTGGCTATGGATGCATGCTTGGAAGGATCGACTGCTATGGGATTGTCCATTACTGATCTCTAAGTCCTATTCTGAAGTCCCTATGTTTTTTTGCTCTTTTGTTCTTCTTGTAGTGTTGTCTCCGGTGTTGTGCCCGGTATGCTATATGCTGTGTGGGAGTCTTGTTAGTTTATCCTTGCTTTTGTGAGGTTTGGGGTATGCCCTGGTTTTGTTTTCTTTTTTCTCTTTTGATCCTTGCTTGGATCATTTCTCTCATGTACTTTAATGATTCATTTTAACTGAATAATATACACTCATTCAGGGGGAAAAAAAAATTGAAAATTCTTATTTTGTATTATGCTAGCACAGAATTATCCCACCAACAATATAGTATGATAGAGACTAGTAAAACACCTGTTTCTCTTGTTTACACTCTTCTATCTCCTTCTCTTATATGTTGCTCTGTCGTTTTTTCACAAAATGGGGGAGGAGGAGAATTTTATATTTTTGAGGGGAAGATATGATATCATGTGTTGATAATGTTTATTTATTTCTTTATTAAGCATTTCATAGGTGTGTAGTTTTAGTTGTGTGCTGATTACATGTTTATTAATAAAAAAAGTTTTGATCAAGTTTTGATCACACTGTGTGAAGCTTTGGATGGTTCAGCTGTTTTTCTTTTTATTTTTGACAATTTGTAATTTAATTTTTCATGCTGACTTAGGTTACAATTGGTTAGGTGGTTTGTCTCAAAATTTTTAAAGGAGAAGATTGTGAGGAATTTTATTTTTGTGTTGGCTAATTTTGTTGTCAAAATGGGTTGATCGAGTTGTAATTTTTAATTTGTGTTTTGATCAAGTTTATCGTCATCTCGATGTAGGGATCACTTAGAACATGAATGTGAAGTGAGGACACCTTGCAGGTGAGTTTGGAAAATTAAGGTTTTTGTTAAAGATTTAAACTTATACAAAGTCCCACCAGTCGCACTTTTGGTGATAGGGTGGACTTGTTCAAAATTGAATATGACTTTATTTTTCAAGTAGATTTTGAACTCTTACTTACACCAAACTTTGAAACCTCTTCAGTCAGTTTCACTCAAAAGTTAGCGGACAAAAATCACATTTTATTATTAAAATTAAAAAGATTATAAATTGAAGGTATTGAGGCAAGTTTGGCTACTGTAGTCAATTGAACTTCATTCAGGAAAAAAATTGAACTTAGTCACATTTGGTGAACTCTTAGGTATACCAATTTTAGTGCTCAAACAAAGTTATCTTCATGGTGCATTGGCACTAAAACGTTCTACTGTTCAAGCCTAGGGTACGAGTGTCAACTTCCTTGAAGGAGAGAAGATCTTATACCAATCTAAATTAGAATTTATTGATAATCTAGTCGAAGTTTAAATTTCACAGGTTAAAGTCCAAATCATCTTGGCCCATTCTTAGAATTTTATTTTATTTATTTATTATTTTTTTACTATTTGTCTATTACATCTAAAACGAAAAGATTGTATATTATGGAATATGGAGTCAATGATTTTTCTTATAATGCACATATAAACTACTTGGACAGCATAAAGTTATATGAAAAGAAAAATGACAGGGAACGCGAAAAATTCCCGAATCTGATGTGGCTGATCCACGTCGAATAATTAAAAAGGAAAAAAAAGTTTCGGTATACCATAAAGGAAAAAAATACAAATAAAAAAAGAAAGAAAAATAGCCTTCATCCTCTTTCCTCACAAACCCGGTAACTCATAAAAAAAGAAAGAAAAAAGTGCTGGGTTTTGGAGGTAAGGCTATTAATTTTACAATTTCAAAACCCTAGGGACCTATACTACAGATCGAAGCCCTAATTTTATGTGCAAATCTGTAGTTATGTTCTTTAATCTTGTAAACGGCACGTTATTTGTTTCCCTCTCTTCTCCTTTACCAAAATCCTAAATTAAAATACATAAAAGATTATAAATTAGTGAACCATTACTCAAGTCCTAAACGCAAAATTCAGCACTTCAGAAAGATGATAAGGTTTTGGATTATTTTTCTTGAAGCGATCTGTAACGGAGCTCTCTCTCGCACGCTAATTGTGGAGACCTTTTAGTTTCCCGGTATGTGAGGAAAGAGGAAGCAAGCAATCTTTTGTTTCTTTATTTTATTTTATTTTTCCCTTTCAGTTATACGCCTAAGGAAAACTCTTTCTATCTTTTAAAGTGTATGATGTTGCCAGCCACATCATATTGGGGACTATTGGTGTTCCCTATCACTGCTCATATGAAAATGATATAAATTCTAAACATTTGTATTTTTTTTTTTTTTTTTCAAAAAATGTTTGTGTAGTTTTATTATTATTATTATTATTATTATTATTTTCAAGACAAGAAACATATAAATTTATTTTTGCTCCTATGGAGACTTAAATCCTCATTCTTCTACCTTGGAAGGTAAAGAAGTAACACTAGACTATACTATTTTTGATAAAAATTTGTACAATTGGCCTTTGCAATTTACCACTTTTTTAATTCTTTTATTCTTTTTAAAGGTAGAGTTTGACGGTTTGATAATATTGGTATTGGACTAAAAATACATGAAATAGCAATTTTCGTGATATATATATATCGTCTAAAGCACCAGAAAGCTTTTATAAAAGCCAAGCCAAGGGTACCATTGTAATAAACTATTTCTCTCATCAGAATCGCTGAAACTACGACGAACAACAAATACAAGGGTACTGTCATTTAAATATAAGCATCACTTCAAATATGAACGTGAAGTGAGGACACTTTGCAAGTGAGCTTGAGTTCGGTTGGGATTGCAAAATTAGGGTTTTTGTTAAGATTTAAACTTATACAGAGTCTCATTGGTCGCACTTTTGGCGATAGAGTGAACTTGTCCAGATTTGAATATGGCTCTATTTTTCAAGTAGATTTTGAACTCTTACACCAAACTTTGAGACCTCTTCATTTAGTTTACATTTTATTATTAAAATTAAAAAGATTTCAATTGAAGGTTCTGAGGCAAGTTTGGCTATTGCAGTCAATTGTACTTATACTGATGCCCTATTTCGCCTATACCACTTTTAGTAAGGCTCATGTCACGTTTAGTGCACTTTTAGGTATACCAATTTTAGTGCTCAAATAAAGTTATCAAAAACGTTCTAGAGTACGAGTCAAGGGCACGAGTACCAACCTCCTTAAAGATGAACTTATATCAGGGTGGACAAATAATCCGTGAATTCGCGAATCCGATCTGATCCGATTCAATTCGCGCGGATCAGATCGAATTACTACACCTACGAATTGATGACAGATTAAAAAAAATCAAATCCATAACTCACGGATTGGATTACGAATTGGGCTGTTAAAAATCCGATTCGATCTGTGAAATATATATATATATATTTATATATATAATATTAGTTAATTTAATTAGTTAATGATAATTTAATAGATTCTAGGGATGTATTAGTTAATAATTATTTAAATATATGAGTTAATATAAATAAATTATGATTTTATCTATTGGGTTATGGTTAAAAGACAAATAAATAACAAATAATATTAATTATAAAAATAAAAAAATAATAATAATGGATAATTTATATAAAATCCAATCCACAAATTCAATCCAATCTGATCCGTTATTACACGAATCCAATTCGATCTATGAGATAACAGATTGGTGGTGGATTAAGATTTGTCTAATTCGTTGGAAGCGATTGGATTAGGATTAATGTCTAATTCGATTCGATCTGATCCGATCACGTAACCACTCCTAACTTAAACCATCTAATTAAAATTTATTGATGATATAATTAAAGTTTAGATTTCACATGTATATCACAGAGGTTAAAGTTCAAATCATCTTCGCGGATTCTTAGAATTTTATTTTATTTATTTATTACTTTTTTTGCTATTTATCTATTACATGTGAAACGAAAAGATGGTATATTTTGGAGTCAAATGATTTTTCTTTTTAATGCATCGATGAACTAGTTGGACAGCATGAAAATTATATAAATTCTAAATATTCTTCTTTTTTTTTTCATAAAAAGTTTGTGCATCGTTTTATTATTATTTTATTTTTCAAGACAAAACACACCCAACCTACTTGGTAAAAGTTTGTGCAATTGGGCTTTGCAATTTACCACACTTTCTTTTTCTTTTTTTTCTTTTTTTTCAAAGGTGGAATTTAACGGTTTGATAATATTGGTATTGGACAAAAATACATAAAATGGCAATTCCCGCGATATATATATATATATATATATATATATATATATATATATATATATATATCGGCTAAAGCACCAGAGAGCTTTTATAAAAGCTAAGCCAAGGCAAGGGCTGAAACCACGACGAACACCAACACACCATCGTTCATCAATTCGTTCGCGAATCTGTGAAGGACTAGCAAACTCACCCTCGATTCTTTCGCTGTCTTTGATTTTATTTTCATTTTCCACGTCTTTTTTTTGTACTCGAACAAATCGGTAGCAGAAAGATTTCACCGTAAACGCAACTGATCAGTAGCGGAGATCTATCAAGTATCCAATTGACCTTGTAATTTCTACAGTGACATTAATGGACCCCTCCATCATGAAGCTCCTTGAAGAGGACGAGGTTTCCTCTCTCTTTATATATACGCACACACACATACACACATGCGTGTGTGTATATATATCTTGTATATATGAATAAGTTGTTTGGATTTGTCAAAAGGGGAATTCTTGGAGTCTAAATTTGTATTGTCTGATTGGTTCACAGGACGAAACTATGCATTCTGGGGCGGATGTGGAGGCGTTCACAGCTGCTCTGAACAGGGACATAGAGGGCGATACGTCCAATTCTCAACCCTCTGATTCAGATAGTGGTATACATCTCTGCAAGCTCTTCTCTTTTTCGATTTCACTATATCATGGGTATCTCAAATATTGTACATTTGTGAACATTGATGTCAATTTAGATAAAAATTGATGAAATTTAGGAAGAATAAACCTTTAAAGATATAATAAAAGAATTTGGGCATCAAATATATTGTCCATAGGGGAATATAAACGGCATCAACATGCGTATGTTATATCATTAGAATTCGTTCTTTTGAATAAAAGGGGGCTGGTTTTTATATATAATACAAAGTTATGAATACAAGTTAACTAAGCAGTATCAATTAGAAGTGTGTTATGGTATAAACTATAAAGAAAGACGATAAATTATGCACCAAGTTGTGTGTAGCATGGATGCCGTTGATGCTCTAGTGGGTTGACATTGGTAAATTAGTATGCTGCACTTTGGCATCACACTTCTAATCCAAATTTATGTTAAGGATGGCCATAAAGGTTATTTATGGTGATTGTTGACTGGAAAGTTACGAAATTATTATATACCTCATTTCAAAGATGGGTTGATTGCCCTATATAAGTTTGAAGAATCTACGAATAGTGGGTGTTAAACTGTAATAAACTTGCTACTCTTCTTTTATTATATATATATATATATATATTTATATGATGGATAGCAAGTATAGTAGGGCTCATTTTTTAATTATTCTTTATCAACTTATGCTGGGTAGGACACAATATATTGTCATGGAGCAGCAATTCATCTGTCATTCTTTTATTATTATTGAATCTCTACCTTTGTTAGTCCCTCAGTAACACTGTTTGGCTAGATTCAAGAGAGGAGAAGGGAAGAGAACTTACCATATCTGTTTTATATGGTTCGGTTGACTTTATGAAAAGAGACAAGACGCTATTGGGAGAGAGAGTATAACTCTCCAAGCCCACAAAATATATCACCTCATAAGTCAGATGATTTGGAGTAGTTTGGAGAGAAATTCAGGCCTTGTTTGGGGGAGCATTCTAGTACTAAAAGTACTTAGTTTAAAAGGCCTTTATAAAAGGAACTTCATGTAAAGGAATTGAAATGATAGAAGATGTTTTGTAAATGCAATATGAAAAAGTCCATTTAACAGTTACAATGTGATCCGATGTGTTTTGGTTTGTTTCCAGGCTGTTTCTGGTTTGAAAGTTAACGTGGGAAAGAGTGTGATTGTTCCTGTGGGGCAGGTTCAGGAGGTGGACACTCTGGCTGCTGTTCTAGGGTGTGGGACGCAACGCTTTCCCATCTCGTACTTGGGTTTGCCGCTGGGGGACTCGGCTAGGAGGGTGGGAAGTTGGAACCCGGTGATTGAGCGGGTCGAGAGAAGATTAGCGGGTTGGAAAAAACAATATATGTCAAAGGGCGGTAAAGTTACGTTAGTAAAGAGCACTTTGTCAAGCCTTCCAACGTACTTTCTTTCACTTTTTCGTATTCCAACCTCTATTGTTGGAAGACTAGAAATGCTCCAACGTAATTTCCTTTGGGGGGGTCGTGGAGAAGAGTTCAAGTGTCATCTTGTCAAATGGGAATAGGTTTGCAGGCCTATTCGGTTGGGAGGGCTTGGAATTAGGAGATTGGCCCTTTTCAATTGTGCTCTTCTTGGTAAGTGGCTTTGGAGATTTGGTAAGGAAAGACATAGATTATGGAGAAGGGTTATCTCATGTCGCTTTGGGGACGAGAGAGGAGGGTGGTCAGTTAGACCAGTCAGGTCTGTTAGCGGAGTTGGGGTGTGGAGGGCCATTGGTAAGGGGTGGGATGCCTTTTCCAAACATATTAGATTCAGAGTTCGGGAAGGAAGAAATGTCCAGTTTTGGGAGGATCCATGGTGTGATGATAGGCCTTTGGCCCTATTGTTTCCCAGGTTTTTCAGGATTGCTGTTGACAAACATGCTATGGTTGCTGACTACTATCGCCTTGATAGTGGAAGGTTGTCTTGGGATGTGCGTTTCCGGCGAGCTTTTCAGGATTGGGAGCTGGATGATGTCACTGGGTTTTTGGCTCTCCTTTACGGACAGGAGGTGGAGGGGTCTGGGGCAGATTCCTTGATTTGGGTGCATTCTTCTCAGGGGATGTTCCAGGTCCGGTCCTTTTTTGTGTGCCTTTCTGGTTTTCATGGTACCTCATTCCCATGGAAGACGGTGTGGAGGTCTAAGGCGCCTCTTAGGGTGGCCTTTTTTGTGTGGACTGCAGTTTGGAGTAAGATTTTGACTTTGGACAATTTGAGGAAGCGAAGGCATATCATTGTTAATAGGTGTTGTCTTTGCAAGATTAATGGGGAGTCGGTGGATCATCTTTTGTTGCACTGTCCTGTGGCTCATGATTGTTGGAGTTTGATGTTTGGCCTGTTTGGTATTCATTGGGTCATGCCTCGGTCATCTTGGGAGTTGTTAGATATGTGGAGGGGCCAATGGGTGGGGGTTCAGGTCAGAGTTTTTGGAGGGTGACCCCTTTTTGTATTTGGTGGAGCCTTTGGAGAGAGCGTAATGGAAGATCTTTTGAGGGAAAGGAATCCTCCATTGGGGTGTTAAAATTTTCTATCATTTGTAATTTGTTTTGTTGGGGTCAGCGGAGAGACTACTCCTCTCTTGAGGATATTGTTGATTTTATGAGCTCTTTGAGTTCATAGGCTCCGTTTTGTCTTTGTATAGTTTGGGACGCGTTCCCCTTTTGAACGCTTTTAATACAATTTACTTATCAAAAAAAAAAATCATGTACACAATATAATGAATAAATGCATAAAAACAAATTTGAAAATCCATCATTATGCATAAAATAAATTTCAATTCAAGAGAAATTCCTTTAATATGAAAGATGGTGTATTATGGTCCTAACCTCCTAATTCTATTTAGAAACCTTCTTCGGTAACTACTTGCTATGTTTTCTTTAGACATTATCAACAATAATTTTATTTAGATAGTTTGCCCCACCTAGTACCATTCCCACTCTCCACAACCAGTATCTCTACAGTGGAAACCCAATTTAAAGAATTACCACCAATTTTGACCACCCACTGGTAGATTCAACAGTCGCCAACCCTCTTTCCACCATCTGAGTTATCTGTCCACAATGCCCTCCTTCGACTCTTCCACCGCTACCTAAATACAATTATGAAATAGACTTGCAAGAATCAATTGGTCTAAAACCTCACATATTAACGATAGTAGGAATTGCATATATGTGAATATGTATGTATATATATGTGGATAAAACGAACCAAGACAAATCAAGGAGACAATAGTCACAATAAATTGATCCGAGTATGGATACTCTCCAACATATTGAACCATCTCTCTCTCCACAGTGGGGGAGCCATCTCCGAGCCACAAGTCTACCTCCAATGACCGCTACTGCTATCATACCTCCAATTGTGAGCTGTTATTAGTTATCAAATGATGTCCTTCTCTGGCTCCACCCTATATACACACACATATATACAGATACATACATAACCCTAGAATATTACGCCTTGCCATAATTTTGCAAAATAAACATGAATTAGAATAGATTTGAGATTGTTCCTGCAACTTGTTATGATCGGATAAGTTTACCTGCTTTGGTTTTCTTTCGAGATGGCAACCTAATAAATGAGGGACACATTCATGATTTAGATTTTATTACTTAAGTAATGATCTAACTTCGTGAGAATTAGTTTTCAAAAGTGACTCTTATTGGCTTTGGCAAAATGGACTTTCACCTTATTGCACTTCTCTTGGAAGTCTGTTTGTCTTGTTTCATTCTATACCTTAGAAGTCCTTCTAAAGCCCCTTAAAACTCCCCCAAACACTACCTTAGTATTTGGCTGTGAGGGATGGTGTTTTGGAACAACTGGATGAGGGTGTTGGTTGAGGTGACATTGTTGGGTTTTCTGGTTTTCCCTCTGATCACTCCAGTTGTGTTGTGTCGTCTCCTAGCAGGGGCTTGGGTTGGTTGACAAAGTTTCGAAACCGAAGGGGTGAGGGTCCTGATTTGGGTATGCCATGTCATAATTCCAATTGCTCTGACAGAAGGTCTGATACTCCGAAGGATTTGTCCTAGTGTAATGGCAGCTGCTCTAAGAAGAAGACTACTGTTTATGTTGGTAGAGATATCCGAATGATTCTTTCTGATGATTTTGCTGCTCTTCTAGTCCAGGAATTGAAAAGGCATAGAGGGTTGACTGACGACAGGTAGGAGGGTGCTCGGGATAGTTCCATTGACTGGTTGACTTGTGATGTGTCTGAGCAGGGGTTGGATTGTGGAGAGGGCAGTGTTTTCGGGGACCAGAGGGATTGGCAGCTGCTTGATCTATTGTCATGGCAGGGGGAGTCCCTGATGCTGTGTTTGATCCATTGGCTGTGGTTCGACCGGACGGAATGGGGGTGGGCACTATTGAACAGGGATTTGTTGATTCAGGTAAGGAGTGGGTCTTGGAGAATATTGGCGAGACAAGTGAGTTGTTGGGTGTTTTTGTTGATGGCAAGAAAGAGCAGGCCTTGCCGATTCTTCATGCGACAGTGGAGGAGAGGGATGGGGAGCTGAGAAAGAAGGTTAATATGGGGGATAGAAGAAAGAAGAAATTTTCTTCTTGGAAAGGGGAGAGGGAAGTTAGAAATCTTGTCATTTATGTTAATTATGAGGGGAAGGATGGGATGGTGAGGGAGAGGGAAAGTGAGAGGGGTAGAGGGAGAAGTAAGGGGGAGGGGAACGCCATTGTTTCCTCATGAAGTTCTGAATCATATCTTGGAACGTCCGTGCTCTCAATGACCCGGACAAGAGAAAGGTGGTGAAGTTGGCGGTGACGAAGTGGGGGGTTCATATGGTTTGTTTGCAGGAGACGAAGTTTGCTTTTATGTCGAATAGGGTGGTGAGGAGCTTATGGGGTGGGAGATTTGTTGAGTGGGAGGTGTTGGATGCTGCAGGGACTATCAGGGGCATTCTCGTGATGTGGGATAGGAGATGGGTGTCGAGGGTGGATGTTTGGAGAGGGCGGTTCTATATTTCCTGTGCTTTGTT